GCGGGCGCAGCTCAGCCCTCCGCCTGCGGCTAGTGGTGGCAGCTCACCTTCGCCTCCTGGAAGTGGGGCCAGACCTTCAGCAGATCCTCGGGCTGGTAGTGATGGACCATCACCAGCCGGGAGAACCGGCACTTCTCGTACTTGATCCAGAACATGTTGAAGACGCCCCAAGGGCTGCTGGTGACGGCGATGCCCAGCGCGTGCAGGCAGATGCCCATGAAGGAATCCTCCATGTTGATGACAGGCAAGGTTTGGGCGATGCCGTAGATTTTGCTGGCCAAGTCCCCGGAGAGGACGTAGCCGGGTCCGCCGCAGTAGGGCGGGTAGGTGGCGTTGGGGTAGACCTCGTGGGGCACGTACCACTTGTAGGCCTTGCTGCGCAGCGGCCCCGTGTTGCGGTAGATGTAACCCGTCATAAAGTTCTTCTTGGGGGGCACCAGGAGCTGTTGCACCAGGTAGCCCAGGTTGAGGAAGACGTCGTGGTCGGCCTTCATCACGTAGCTGGCGTTGGGGCAGTGCTTGCTCACCCACTCCATGCCCATCAGCGTCTTCAACGTCAGGTTGTTGTAGGTGTCCAAGAAATCTTGCTGGAGGATGTCGCGGTGGAGAAGGCTCTCCTCCTCCAGCACCGGCTGCAGCTCCTTCCTGAACACCGGGTGGACGCCGATGAGGAAGAGACGGAGCATGGAGACCCCCGGCACTGAGCTCTCGTTGCCCCAGGTTTGCCGGATGGCATTCCTGCCAGCCGTGTCCCCCGGCTCCGTCACCACCAGCAGCACCAGGAAGGGCGTCCGGTCCCGGCACTTGTGGGGCTGGTTGAGGATGAAGCGGTAGGGGTGGGGGTAGGGGGGCTGCAGCGGGTGCCGGCTAGGGGCCGGTTGCCGTGCGGATCCGGTGCCCTGTGCCACTGGAAACCCGCCCTGGGCGGGTGCTGCAAGTCAGCGGCATCTCGGCCGGGGCCGCGCAGGTCAGTGGTGGTGGTGGTGATGGGCTCCTCGGCGAAGCGCTGCACCCGCAGCCCCAGCAGCGCCAGCGACACCAGGACGGGCAGTAGCAGCAGGCTCAGCTGGCATTTCATGGCTCCGGCCGTCGTCTGGGGGGAGACCCGGCGCCTCAGAGCGATGGCGGGCCCACCCAACGCTCCCTTGGCACCTAAGAAACCGCTCACTTGGCACCC